CTTTTTAAAGTTAGGGGTTAAATTTTGGACTTGCTTTGTATTTTTGTTACTTGCATAATAAGGCAAATATGGAAAACTTCACACAAGGCAAGGAAATGCTTGTTTTTTCACACATACACTCTCCATATCTCATGAAAGGATATTTTAACACAAATTTGAAGGGATGCAAGCATGATATGAGATGGTTCAATATGTCATCACATGAGAACTTCCATAACCTTCCACCACATTCTAGAATCCTCTAAGATCAATCCAGAAACTTCTAGATCTGTCCATCATCCTCTATATATTGAATTGAATCCATTAGTGCAAAAGGTTGGTGAAAAGAGGGAGAGAAGAGAGAGAATTCCATTGTTGCTTCCATTGTAAGAAAGTGTGAAAATCTATATTCAACACCAAATTTGTTCATCTTTTTTCTTCATCCACAATCCATTGAAGCTCTTGAGTGCATACATGCTGAATTAGAGAGCCATCCATGGAAGATTGAGGAGTTAGGGTTTGAAATTGCAAGAAGCATATCAGATTCGAATCTCTTCATCCAAGCACTCTTCTTCCAACTTTTTGCAAACAGAAAGCATAGCATCATCTAAGGACCATTGGTGAAAGCTTGCAAGGGCTGAATCAAGCTATTTCCCATCTGTTCCAACAAGAATTGCAGGTATGCATTTTCTCTTCTATCTCCATAATTATGCATTGTTAGCTTAGTTTGTTAGGTTAGAATTGTTAGGTTAGGTTAGAGGATTGAATTCAGAAAGTTTGAGTGCCATCCATGGAGTTTGAGAATATGGTGTTGAAACTTTAGGGACCAAGAAATCTTAGGTTAGTGAGTTTTAATCCAAAGCTATTAGCATGTTAGGATCAGTATAACATAAGGATCATCCTAGGGCCAAGATTTGCAAGAATGGTGAAGTTCCCTCATGAGTGCAGTTGGTGGATCATGGAGCTTATGGTTATCGGGTTTCATTCTAGGGTTGGTTTCAATCCAAACTTGTGGCACCATCGTGTTCATGAGAGAGAGTAGAGCATTTTTTCTCTTTATAATTTAGGGTTTCATGGCCAATCGAGTGAGAACAGAAGGGATGAAAGTGTGTGCATGGTGGAGGGTTTTTCCTGAAACTAGGGTTTCGTTTGGGGACAATGAAGGAGGGTCGTAGATGCATGCTTGGACTTTTGACTGAAGCGCCAATCCAATGGCTGAGATTTAAAGAAGAAAACGGAGGGAATTGACCATAGTGAAACGATGCGTTTCACTAAAAACCTAACCATGGGCCCTGAATCAGATTTCTATCCCCACCCCCCATATGGAAGCCCAATGGATTTTAACTTGAATTTGTTGCTAAATACACCGTTCACGTTTTATTTTTTTAATTCAATTTCTGATGCATGCTGGGCCTAGCGCCTTTTGTTATTTGCACCTCCCATCCCTGGCCCATCAGCAATATGAACTAGGCGCATCTGCTTCTGACACCCCCCCCCCCCCATCCCATTTATTTCATTTTTGTGATTTTATTTTTCTTTTATATTTCTAGCACTTTTAAAAATCCATAAAAAATCAGAAAATTGATGTTTTTAATTGCTTCTTTTTGCTATAGGTCAATAATTCTGTTAAGAAAAATAATAAATAATAAAATTGGCATTTTATTTGGTTTTAGTATTTTTTTGAGTATTTTTCTTGTAAATAGCTTTTTAATGAGTTTAGTTTAATACTTAATTTTGTTGATTTTAGTTCTAATAGTTCCCTTTAGGTTTAGGACCCATTCTTTTTAGGGTGATTAGCTTAGGACTTCAAATTGTATATAGGGTTTAATTCATAATTTTAGGATTATTTTTTAGATGATTTGATTAGGTGAGATTAGAGTGGTTAAAATTAGGGTTTTAAGTGAACATAGGTGAGATAGATCATTTCTTTTAGGAATTTTGATTTGATTTTTGGGGTATGGGACTATAGGGGGTATGGGACTATAGGGGGTATGGGTAGGTAATAGATCCCTTAGAAAATATTAGGATTCCCCTATTAATACTAGTATATTGCTTGTATTTGATTGACTGGGTGGTGTGCCCTCTTTAGGGTTATTATTTGTCTGTGTGGGGTATTGGGTTTGTTTGGGACTTGGGGTTTGAGCTGAAGATTGAGGTGATGAAGCCCATTTGAAGATTAAAGACTGAAGACCAACTTCCAGAGTTGATGAGGAGTATCTCTTGCTGGCAGCTGTTGAAGTTTATAGGATCTAGGAGTTAGGCAGAGCTCTAGAGTAGCAAACTTGGTTCACAAACATGGAAGGTCTTGATTGCCTCCATCCTTCTCTGTAATGCAGAGTCTCTCTAAGACATTCACCCCCTTCCTTTGGAAGGCTTGGTGCCAATGTCTAAGAGATAGAACTCTTGAGAGAAAATATCCTATGTGTTGTTAGCTGTCTGTTTGCCACCTTTGGTGGTCAACTAATTGCTTAACACCCAGTTCATTCTTGTGATTGATTCCTCAGCTTGTAGAGTGAGACTTGAAGAAAAGCCATTGGGAGATTGAAGATAAGAGACTGATGCTGACTTGAAGCCAGATGCTGATGAAGATTGCTTTTGCTGTTGATTTTAGCTGATTAATTCTTGATGTATTGTGTAGATTTCCCGGACTGTATTGTTTGCTGTTTAACCTGCTGGGTGGAAAGTGAATCCTGTTCACTTTTGCCTATTGTTTTCTAGGTTCGAGGTTGAGTGGGACTCCCTTGCCTCGCTTGTATTGTTGCATCCATGCATTTTACTGCTTTATTGTATATATCTGCTGTTTCTGTTTCCGTTTATCCCGTAGGATCTCTGTTTCTCTCTGCGCAAGAGAGGAGCATGATAGACATTAGGAGTTAACCCATGCATGATAACATTAGGGTAGATGTTTATTCCTTTTCAACCCTAGGATTTGTAGAGTGTCATCTCTTCTTTCTTCAAAACAACAGAAAAACATTAATAAAGGTTATAACAGAGATCAATTCATTTCTTCCGTCAAAAGATTTGAACAAACGTCAACCTTTTTGCAATAAGAAAACCCTTGTTTAAGGTGAGATTTTTCATAAAAGACACTTGAACAGCTTGTGTCGTGCGTAGCCCGAACTACGTTTGCTCTGATCTTCCATGCAGTATGGGAGTACGTAGGCATAGGATGCAGTGTCCTAGCGAGCAACCTTCACCCATCTTTCCCCGTAGTTAGGCGAACTACGTTGACTCTGATTTCTCGTTCCAGACGGGAATACGTAGGCATAAAGTGCGATGCTTTGCCGAGTCATGTTTTCTTTTCTTTTCAGACCTCATCCTTTAGTTTATATAGAAGTGTAGTCCGTACAAACAAGCAAGCGTGGATCCCATCGAGTACGATGGACGTGAGGGGTGTTAATACCTTCCCCTTGCGTAACCGACTCCCGAATCCAGGTTTTGGTTGCGATGACCATACCTTTTCCCGTTTTTTGCGAGGTTTACTTCGAGCGTTTCCTTTCCCTCCGTTGGGATAAATAACGCGCGGTAGCGACTCTTCTGTCAGCCGGCGCCGATTTTCGCAGTAGCGACAAATTGCAATTCATCCATATGAACATCTTTAATGGTGAGAACTAAAGGATTCGTTAAGCCTTATGTTTTGTTGATTATCTTTTTTACCTATGGAGTGTATTGATGTGGCAACAATGGTTGCTTAAATTTAAGAAATGAAACTTCTTCAAGCAATCTCAAAAGTGTAGAACTTAATATTAAAATATTATTATTTTCTAGTCAATTCAATAGAAAAATTAATTCATGATGGTTGACAATTGAATATATTGATTAAAAAAATTAAATAGGTGCAACATTACGCTTATTAATAAAAGTGGTAAGAAAAACATTTAATTTCATTTTGCTATAACTACTATTTTCATTTTTTTTTAAACATTTAAAAGATGGAATGCATTAATTTTTTTCTTCTTAATTTTTGTCATTTATGCATTTTTTTAAAAAAAATTTACCATCTTTTTATATATCAATTATAATTGAATTAATTAATTAATTCACTTAAAATGTTGTGTAAATAAAATAATATAAATTAGTGGAGTCAAATATATGTTGCTTACTTACAATCACTATGGAGCAAAAATAGTTGAAATTGCTTAAATGCAACGTGCCAATTTGAACCCACAAAATATGACACAAGCAACCAATTCCCATTAGAGATGCTATAAGATGAGTTCCAGACCTCTAAAGTAAACACTTGTTGAAAAGGTGCACTGCAATGTTGGCTGCAAGTTCCAACACTGCATATCACAAGGGTTTGAATGATAAATGCCACCTTTGAACAAGTAAATAATGGTCCAAGAGTCCAACACAAGCCAACGCCCCTCTCAAACAAGAAATTCTTTCATTTGAGAAGCTTCCCAGATGTTGCAGTGGATCTTTATACAGTTTTGCTGATATAAACCAAAAGCAGGGAAAGACCATTGTGCAACTTTAGAAAATATCGGATTGGTGTCTCATCCGTGAGACATAAATCAAAGCCCATACCAAATAAATCTGAAAACTGCAAGGGTCTGTCAGATGATAATATATACTCAACAAAAATTCTAAAGAATCTACTCTGAATGACATGATAAAAGAAATTCCAGTGGCCAAGGCCATTTTGTATGATTCTCACTTTGGGTGCAGCATGTTCCACGTTCAAATCACGGAATGGCCTGTTATCTAAGTCTAGAACACATAATTTAACTTGAAACATTCAGCTAAATGTTATTGGTTAGTAATTATCAGCATAAACACTATCATCTTTAATCTAATGCAGACCAAATTCAGCAAGTATATAATAAATATATTCATATACAATACAATACAAGTTTACAGTACAGAAATAGGTTACTTTCTTTACTGCATTAATACATTGATCTTACTTTGCAATCTAGAATCTCTACACACACAATAAACATAACAAGGCAAGCTTTTAAAAGAGCATTTGAAAGGAACAGAGATACTAATAACACAATTGAGTGAGATTTCTCAACTTAGCAAGGATTTGGAGAAACCCAAATTGGAAGCGGCCATCCCAACCAAGAAAAAGAATTTCGAGGATAACTCGGCAGCAACGGGTCAATGATCTGATCCAACAATCTAAAGACACCAAAATCATGTTTCCCGTAAGCATCATCATGATTAGACTCCGAATAATCATCAGTGAAATAGATACAATCTGCACAACATCCTACAAAATCACCAGCCGAATAACACAGCGAAGAATTTCCACCTACAAACAAAGCCCTATCACCCAATGTCTCGATCTTTTTCCACACCATCACTTTCCAATCCATCTTAAAAACCTCAAACCCCGCCGTCTTATACACAAACATATCATGGGATTCAATCCCCCCATCAGAAAACTCTTGCTCCAAAATCCGAGTAACCAACAACATTTCCTCACCGGAAAACACCACATAAAAGATATCCCCGGAGAATTCAACCGGCAAAATCGTCTGAAATATAGAAACTCTCCTAACATCAACATCACACACCGCAATCATCCCTCCCTTACTCACAGCATAAAACAATCCATTATGATACACAACATCTTCCCAAAACTGGAAAATCTCATCACTCATAAAAATCCAAGAATCATAACCCTTTTTACAGAAGGCCAAATTACTATACCCATCAACAATAGCAAACGCGACGAATTCATCGTCTCGCGTCGACGATAACACAATTTTTCTAATGAAATAGTTACGCATTTGTCTCAAATTGAAATAACCCAAATCACCGTTAGGGTTTCTAACCAAATACTCACGACCAATATTCGAATAATCGAAGCTTACCACATTAGGGAAAGTGTTAAGCGGAGGAAGAAAGAGAGTGTCGCGTGTTAAGGGGTTGAAAAGACGAATCTGAGGGGTTTCGTCGAGAATAATGAGGCAGCCATGAGAAGAACCGCAGATTCGAGTGCGATGAGAAGGGAGAGAGAGATTGATGAGGTGCGTTTTGTGGGTGGAGATGTCGAAGAAGGATTGGTGAGAAAAAATGAGCCATGGAAGCTGGGGTGGGAGATGGAGAGGGGTTTTGGGGACGGAGGAAAACCAGGTGCGGCAGACGGATCGGAATCGGAGATAGTCGGAGTAGATTGTTAGCTTTTGAGAGATTGTTTCGATGATTTCTGGCGGTAGTTCAGTCCACGATGCATCCATTGTTTTCTTCTCAAAACTTTGAATGCTTCATGGTTTTGCACACACCACACTTTTTTCTTTTTATTTATTTATTAGGAAAATTGTATACACCACAAGTTTTAATTAATGAAAGCTAAGTTTTCATCCTAACAAAAGAAACATCATCCACAAACACAAATGATTGATAGGGGAGGGCGAAGAATAAAAAATAAAAAATAAAAATAAAAACTTGAGTAGCTCCACTCTTAGCAAGAAATTATAATTGTTCTTGGTGATTAAAAAATCTTATATATGAATCATGGTAGTAACAAAAGGGGAGCAGAAGAAACTCTTTGTTTGACCAAATCCACAGTCATTAAAGAAAATAGTTATCTTATGTTATTCAAGTTGTCTCCAGGCCTCTAAGCATAGTCATTAATTCTTCATGGAAAAACGTGAAAAGTCTGCCAACAAAGGTGTTTGGTGGAGGAATCAAGATATTTGTTGAATATTATGATTAGGAGGAGGACCAGAGACTTGTAGGATGATTTAAAACAAACTAAAGAGTCCATTTTTCATTCGAAAACACTTTTATTTCTTGCTTCTAAATTATCCAACAAAAAATAGAGAAATTGACGAAATTAGAAATTATAGGTTGGAGACAAACTAATCAAAACAATTTATGGTTTAAAAAATATGAGCATGATCCAGAGATAATAGGTTTCAAATGACCTTTGTTGCTTAAGAGTTAGTGATGGTGTGAAGAATAATTTTAGAAATTGTCACATCTATAACAAAAATGGTTGGCTATCGTATGTCTTTAGGATCGAAACTAGTTGTTGGTGTGGTTTTATGTGATTTCCGGTTATGATGATATTGTCTGTGGTTTTGATGATGACAATATTAGGGATCTATGTGCTTGTAAGTATAGTCAAAAAGTAATTTAAGATGGTAAAACTTATGATTACAAAGATGCAAGTCAACTTATAATTGCTTAGTTTTAATAATGACAACACTTAAAGTTAAACAATTGCTGAAGATAGCTCAAGGGTTTAAAGATGTATAAGATGTTTAATTAAGTAATCCTCCTTAATCAAACTAGACATGCATTTAAAATAAACATTGTATTTCAACAACTTTCAAGTGAAAGACTTAGGTTTCAAAGAACATTGATGGTTTAACCTTTCAAACTTTAAGATGATGCTAATCAATACGGAGATATCTTAAGCTTCATCAAGAAGAATCAAGGTTCTTGTGTGATGTGAAAGTAAAAGATAATGATGCTAAAACTTAAAGTTTTCGAGTGTGAAAGAAAGGAAGTATAAAAACTCGCTTAGTTGTGTATGTTTGACTGATCAGTGTCTTGTAAAGACACAGGGGAAATTTCTGAAACATTATAGTTAAATCACACACACACTAAAAACATTTGAGAAGACTCTATTTTTTTAAGTTAAAACACAAAAATAAATGCTTTTGAGGTTTAGCAAGTTGATTAGGGGTGTTCTATTGATTATGAGATATTTTATAATTGTCTAACCGATTATATACTTTTCTTAATTGATTAAATGATGACTAATTGAGTCTACAATCGATTGTGGCAGTTGCTTAATGATTAGTAATAACTCTATATCAAAAAAAATTATTTTGGGCCTCAACAATCGATTATTTGAGGTGCCTAATCGATTAGCATAACCGATTATGTGAGTTAACTAGTCCATGAGTTGTTTCTAAATTTATACCATGCTAGAGAGCTTCTCTATCACTTTTTCACATCTAGAAAAAGTGAAAAAAATCTCATTTTTCATTTCTCTCATCACCTCTCTAAGTCTTATTTCTCACATATTTTTAGCCATAATGCTTTGAGAGTATTCTTGAGTCTAATAGAGAATATTATTCTGGGTGAGGGCAAAATTATAAATTTACCAAGAATAAATTTCTTTCGAGTAAATAATTCTTCTATAGAAAGTTGTTATTTTGGTTGTGAGCTAAACTAGTTAAAAGCTTGTGCTTGTATTTAGGGATCGTCTTAGAAAGTCTCAATCTGGTTCGTGAGTTCCTCCATTGAAGAAAAAACTCCAGTTTGGTTCGTGAAAATTTCCACAACGATTCTTGAGCTCAGCTTGTTTAAAAGCCTTATCGATTCGAGATCATCCAGTATAAAATCTCACTTGGCTTCTGATTTTAGTCTGGTGTAGAAACTCAGTAGGTCTGAGATCAGCCCGGTAAAAATATTGGTTTTCAGTTCATGTTGAATCAATGTAAGATCCTAGTTCGGTTTAGAAAATATCCAACTCAAAACTCTGTCTTGGTTCGAGATAAGTCTATGCAAAATCTCTATTTGGTTTGGAGATAAACTGCTTTAAGCCTTGTTTGATATTTTGTTAGAAGTTAGCCTGAAATTTCATTTCTTTATATAAGGGGGTTTGTGGGCATAACCTTCTAAAAATTCTCAAGTAGTGGATACTCTTAAGATCAATTTTTGGGGACGAAAATAGGTATTCTTAGTTGAACCTGTGTAATCCCTGGAGTTATTTCTCTTCCATCATCTCTTTTACTTTCTAATTATTTTTTTTACATTGAATTTTTGCTACATATTTTCATCCGTTTTATAAAAATGTTTTTAAACTTTGATTTCTAAAATGATTTTGTTTTAAATCATCATTTTTCAAACCTTCACAATTCACCCCTTTCTTGTGTATGGATTCATATGTCCAACAAGTGATATTAGAGCGTAACTATTATGTATGGATTCATATGCTCAAATGCTCGAATGCAATAAAGTTGCCACCAAATTTATTTTTAAAAAGGAAAAACATTGTTAAGACCCTTAAACAAAAAAATATATGGTCATCGCAACCAAATTTAGGTTTGGGAGTCAATTATGTGTAGGAAAGGTGTTAACACCCTACGAAATCCGTTTTAAATAACGGTTACCTCTAGTTAATTTTACGAAAGATAGTGTTAACCCTAATGTATTTGATTTATCCTAATTATTAACACATATTAGCAAGAAATGGAAGAAAAAAAAGATTTTGTATAAGTTATAAAGATACAACGTTTAAAAATATACAAAGTTTTTATGTAGAAATAAAAAAAGATTACTCCTACGTATTTTTCGGTGTGATTGAGTATTTAAAGCTACAAAAGTTTTGTGTAGAAAAATCTTGTGTGTTGGTATATTTTAAGGAAAAAAGAATTTGATCACGCTATGGAGGAAATAGAGTTTTTTGATTAGTTCTGATTATTTTTATGATGAACACAATTGTTAGAACAAGCAAGTTATACAACTTAAATTTGAATACTAGAGAATGAAAGGGATATATATATATATATATATATATATATATATATATATATATATATATATATATATATATATATATATATATATATATATATATATATATATATATATATATATATATATATATATATATATATATATATATATATATCAAGTTAATCCTTTTTTAATCTGATTTTGTTTATAAAAGAATATGTTTAACACTATTGATTTGCAATCTCTTAAGGAAATACAAGTGTTAGAACAAACAAGTTATACAACTTGTGTCTGAACGTTCGGGGATCAAAGGGATATACATATAATTAATCATTTTTAATTCAATATGACATTGAACTCAAAACGGTCAAGTTATTAATTAATTTTTTGAAAAGGAAGACAAATGTTCCAACAAGAAATCTATATGGGTTGTGTCAGAACTCTCGGGGATCAAAGGGATATACATCCAATTAATCCTTTTAAAATCAAATTTTGGTTATAAAAAAAAAAGAGATTAAAATTATTTCATCGTTATATTACATTATTCGATCATATTTTGAGTTTCATAACCTCAATTTAGGTGAAACCAATAGAAAATGAAAGCTAAAGAAAAGAGATAGTTGGTTTAAATAATAATGAAAAATGAAACAAAAAAGATAAGTTTTTTGAGATTGTAATTCCTTGTGTCGAAGCAAGTGTAGCTCAACAGAAACAAGGATGTGTCGAAATTAGTCTAGTGTGTGCGTGTGTGTGTGTGTGTATCAATTTGTGTTAGATCTCGAAGTATCGAAACAGGTTGGTTGACACAGGATTTTGACTTAGACCAAAATAGAAATTTAGGGTTTTACCTTAGAGAGCAATGTAGCTCAATTATAAATAGAGGAAGTAACCCATATTTTGAGTAAGAAGAATACAAAATAATGTTGTAACACACAACAGAAAGTGCAGTTGCACAGTTGAATAATATTTTTTCTCAATTTAAGAGCAGAAAGTTACTTTGCAGAAATCATTATCTTCTTTCCTTTTTTTGTTAAACCCTGATCTTCTTTCTTCTTCCATTAACAATTGCTGCGCAAAACCATTCTTACAATCAAGGTTTGATTGTTTCACTTGAGTAAAGAGTGAAGAACAAGAAATTTTAATCAGTTGATTGAATCTTGTTCATCAAGATTGATTCAGAATTCTCAAAGTTTCAGGTTAATTCCAACATCTGGTATCTAGAGCACTAGCTGAACAATTCGTGGGAAGAAAATTACGACGGCAATGAATAATCCAAACGAACATTTTCCAGCGAGTCTTCTGATTCTCAAGAATAATAATTATAAGAATTGGTGCAAGCAGATGAAGGTGGCTTTTTGTCATCAAGATCTTTGGGATCTTATGAAGGAAGGAGTAACACTGCTTGCAGAAAATGCAGTGGGTCAACAAAATGTTGCATACAAAGAATTGAAGAAGAAAGATTATAAAGCTCTCTTTATAATTCATCAATGCGTTGATCCAGATATTTTGAAAAGGTTAATAATGTAAAGTCAGAAAAACAAGCATGGGAAATCTTGGAGAAATTGTTTGGAGGGGAAAAGAAGGTAAAAGAGGTGAGGGTGCAAACTCACAAAAGGACTTATGAATTACTTTAGGTGGAAGAAAGTGAAAGCTTAACTGATTTTTTCACTAGGGTTACTAATTTGGCGAATCAAATCAAGGTATATGGAGAAGTGTTGACATCAAGATCGATTATTGCAAAGATCTTGATGTCATTTTCTCT